TGGCTCGTCCCTCGCCTGCCGTGTGTCTGAATGTCATTGGCTCTTTATGTCATGTTGGACTCCAGCTGTCCTGAACCTCACCAGCTGGGTTATGCATTAGGCTCCAAGCAATGGGCTTGGATTGTTCATAGTGATTCGTGGCATTTGTGGGCTTATACATGTCAGTAGTCCCCCATTCCCGAGTGCAGCTTTAGTCCAACGAAGGGAATATGAATGAAGTAGATGAGGGTGTTAGGGATTGGCAGGATGGAGGTCAACCGGCAAGGGTGAACCGACCGGGAGGTGGTCCGACCGTGCAGGGCGACCGAGTGGAAGGGCCGATCACGGGAAGGACCGACCGCAAAGGTTTGGCCGAGTGGGAGGGTCGACCACGAGAAGGGCCGACCGCGAAGGGGGCCGACTGCGGGGGTTGGCCGAGTGGGAGGGTCGACCACGAGGAGGGCCGGCCGCGGGGGTTGGCCGAGTGGGAGGGTCGACCACGAGGAGGGCCGACCGCGGGGGTTGGCCGAGTGGGAGAGTCGACCACGAGGAGGGCCGACCGCGGGAGGTGGCCGAGTGAGAGGGTCGACCGCAAGGAGAGGGCCGACCGCCGGGGTTGGTCGAGTGGGAGAGTCGACCACGATGAGGGCCGACTGCGAAGGGGGCCCGACCGCGAGGGTTGGCCGAGTGGGACGGTCGACCGCGAGGAGGGCTGATCACGAAGGGTAGAGTGGAGGGGCGTGGGGCTCGAGAGGCAGCATGTCACATGCTGGTTTGAAGTGGAAAAGACAGGGTAAGGGGAGAAGACAGTGGATCGTGGTCGTACACGTGGCAACATCCCGCGGGGGGGGAGATTGGGCGCCAAATCAGAAATGAAACGATAGGTCATTAACGATAGGTCATTATGGGTGTTGAAAAGATAGTTTTGGCGGATAATTTGAAAAGTTTTCAAACTGGCAAAAATTAATTGGGATCCTTGGAATACGGGCAAACCGTGGGCTTTTGGCATCATTCGATTCACCTACTTGTTTACAAAAAATCAAAACATTCCAAGTGTTAATTCCTTTGTTGCTCACGATATACCTCTGCAACAATTTTTCAATTTCTTTGCACCTACATCCGAAGCGATTCGCAAACATACCATAGAGATGGCCCAAGAAGAAACTGCGAATGTCATGGTGGATCCACTTGGTGATGATGATGCAGTGGAGTTGGCGCAGCAGTACCGGACGGAGAGGATGGGGGAGTTGGTAGGACGATCCTATGGTTCCACCATGATAGCAGCTCCAAGGCCAATCAGCCAGGCAGAACCAGATCACTGGCACACAAAAGCAGACAGATCCACTCTTACATCGGCGGAGTTTGAGGGAATAAGGGGAAGTACCAGATTCCTTTGGAAATAGGGTTGAGGCTACCGACATCTACCGAGAGGGCATCGGATGTACGGCCGGGGGAATTTAGCTTGTACGAGGAAGCATTGCGGGGAGACGTGAGGCTACCGCTGCCTCAAGTTGTGGTTGACGTGTTGAATAAACTAGATGCGGCGCCAGGTTAGTTGATACCAAACGCCTGGAAAATATTGATGGCGTGCGCGAGTTCCTGGCCGCAAGCAACGGGAGGGTTGGCCTTGACAGTAAATGAGTTCTTCTCGTGTTACAAGGCCTCCGGTCAGTAGGACACTTGGGTTACACTGCAGGCGGTGGCGGGGCGAGGTCTGGTGGCAGGTCGACCATCTTCAGTAAAAGGCTGGAGGCCAAGGTGGTTCTTTGTGGTGGCGAACGGCGGGACGGGAGTTCGTACAACTTGGAAGGTGCCCACCAAATCGGTCGAGCCCAAGCTGGACAAGGTGACTGAGGACCGGGTGAAGAGGGTGAGGGATTGGAGGGAGGGGAAAGAAGTAAGGTGGGACGAGCTGGTCCTACCGTCGGTGCTGTTTGCCTTAAACTTGGGACCGCAGCCGTTGGGAGGGGGTCTAGAAAGGGAGGAGTTGGAGGTGCAGAGGAAAGCGGAGGAGGAGGAGGAAATAAGGCTGTTCGCGCGGGGGGACAATTATAAGGAGTCCCAACTGGGGCCCGCTCCGAAGCCGGTCGTGAGAGAGCGAATCCGACCGCGCCCCAAGCCGTTGGGGGAGAAAGACTTAGGCAGTTTTGTGCCCTGACGGCCCCCAGTGGATCCTGTAAAGGATCGGGCGAACAAGGAGGGGGATGCTCTGAAGAAGAAAAAGAGGAGGGTGGATAGGAGTCAAGAAGAGCCTGCCCAGAAGAGAAAGAATGAAGTGAAGGCAGAAAAGACCAGTATGGCGAAGGAGGCAGAGGGGGGGAAGTGGAGGAGACACTAGGAAGAGTAATGGCCCCAGAAGCGGTGGACATTGCCTTAAAGGTCAGGGAAGTTGTTCCAATAGTGGCGGTGATCGCCGCAAGGGTCGCCCCTGAAGTGCAAGTAGAAGGTGGGGCAACTGGCCCTGAGCTAAGGAGGGGAGAACAGCCGCAGGGGGGGCCTGTACCCCACGAAGGGGAGTTAGCCTGACCATTGCGACCTCCCACCCTCGTGCAGTGGCTGGGCGGCTGGAGGGAGAAGAAGGCCCAGCCAGGGCGGGGGCAGACCGCCTTGTTGGAATTGTAGAAGAGGCAGCCTTGCGCTCAGCAGCCAGATTCAATGAGGCTGAACAGCTAAGGGGTTTATGCTCCGCTCAAATGGAGGTGACCACCTTAGCAGGGACTCTGCTGAGGAAGGCGGGGGCTGCCAAACTCAAGGCAGAGGAGGCTAAGACGCAACTTGCCAAGTTGAATAAGAAGAGTGCAAGTTGGAAGAGTGCCCACTCTAATTTGCAAGCGGTCAAGATGGAGTTGGAGGACACACGCCGCCAGGTTGTGTCGCTCGAGTTCCAACTGGCTGGCGAGCAGAAGAGGTTGGATGAAGCCCAAAAAGCCTGCACAGTCACAGTCGAACGATATGAGGAGGCGATGAGCAGTAATGAAGAGCTGGTCAGGTAGAAGGATGAGGCAGACATAAAGATTGGCGGTCTGCAGAAGGAACTGGAGGGAGAGCGTGCAAAGGCACTGGAAGAGAGGGAGAGCCTTCAGAAGGAGTTGGAGGCAGAGAGTGACAAGGCGACTGCTGAGAGGGAGACCTTGAAGAAGGAGTTGGAGGCAGAGAGGGCTAAGGCAGCCTTTGAAGCGGCGACCCTGCAGAAAGAGCTGGACGAAGAGAGGGCGAAGGCAGCCTCTGAAAGGGCGGCTTACCCCAATCTGTATGTGGCAGCGGTGGATCAATTCAAGGGGTCTGCTAAGTTTCAGGTGGCAGTGGATGCCGCGGTCGCCAGCAGCTTGGCGAGGGAGGAGTCTGGGGGGGCGGGCCCATCGAGGACGACCGCTGGGGGCAGAACTGAAGCGGAAGTGATTGAGAGCTTCCAGCAGTCAGACTTCTATAAACACGAAATGGCTGAGTTTTGGGACAGTGGCTGTAAAATGTTCAAACGTAGGGTTGAAGAACTGTTCCCAGACTTAGACCTCAGTAGTGTAACAATTGGTGAAGATGATGTGGCCCAGACCCCCCTGGATGAGGGTATTGAAGAAGAAGACCTGGTCTCTAGTGAGGAGGAATGAGTGGAGTGAAGAAAGTTTGTACTTAAAAGTTTTTTTTTTTTTTTTTGAATGGCTGTAATGAACTCATGTACAAATTTCTGAATAAATAAAATTGCAATTATGTTTTCGTTTGATTGTCTGTGCTTGTACAGCTGAAATGAATGAGGTGTATAACTCATTGTGAAGTGCAAAGTGAAGTTAAACTTGTAATAAGAACTAAGTGTAAGAACTCCTCAGTGTAGAGTGAAGTTGAAGTTGTAATAAAAACTCAATGCAGAGTGAAGTTAAGAACTCCTCAATACAGAGTGAAATTGAACTTGTAATAAAGACTCAATGCAGAGTAAAGTTAAGAACTCCTCAATGCAGAGTGAAATTTAAAATGTAATAAAATTATAAGTTTGTGTTTGCCACACTGCTGAAGTAGATTAGTGGTTTATTGGAGTGAGGCTTGGCTTGTAAGGGAACAGGCTGACTTGTAAGAGTTTGATTGAGAAGAAAATAACCTGACTTGTAAAGAAAACGTGTAAGAACGTCTTTGGAATTTGACTAAGCAAAGAATGGTGTAAAGACTTGGACCACCTGGAATTGTGACTAAGTGTGTCCACTAATTCCACAAGTATGAAGTTTGCATAGATGGCTTTGACCAAGCCCTGCACGCGTGCTTAGTTGGGGCTTAAGCTATGATGCACTGACATCGTAAGGAACTCAGTCTGAACCTAGAATTGTGGTGCTGGGTCCGGCTGAGACTTGTTATGCTTAGGCTGGCAGAGGCTTGGTCTGGCCGAGTGCTTCATGCTCAGTCTGGCTGAGGCTTTATGATGCTCAGTCTGGCTGAGGCTTTATGATGCTCAGTCTGGCTGAGGCTTTTTGATGCTCAGTCTGGCTGAGGCTTTTTGATGCTCAGTCTGGCTGAGGCTTGGTCTGGCCGAGTGCTTCATGCTCAGTCTGGCTGAGGCTTTATGATGCTCAGTCTGGCTGAGGCTTTATGATGCTCGGTCTGGCTGAGGCTTTATAATGCTCAGACTGGCTGAGGCTTTTTGTGAGTGCTGCAATCAAAACGTCATGGAGACACCATACAGATAACTGAAATATATAATGGATGACAGGGAAAGTGTAACCCAGTTAATTGAAAAGTTACATTGCGTAAGGAGATATCAAGAATGTGTAAATTTTCTGAAAAGAAAATACAATAACTTAGCGATACAAAAGTAGAAGCTTATTGAAAATAACGTTTCAGGTGTTCGGCGTTCCATGGATAGGGGAGGTCTCGACCTTCCATGTCCTGAAGTCGGTAGGTGCCCGGACGTGGTCGGGCTTTCACAACGTAAGGTCCCTCCCATTTGGCTGCCAGTTTACCCTCAGTCAGATTTTTTGTGACAAGAGTTGCTTCTCTCAAGACAAGGTCCCCTACAGCGAACTCCCTTGGTCGGACTTTCCAGTTGTAATGTGTTCTCATTTTCTGTTGGTAGGAGGCCAGTCTAACAGCGGTGGTCTCTCTGAGTTCTTCGATTAGGTCCAGGTCTGGCCGACGGAGCTCTTCCGTTTGTGCTGGATCCGGATGTAAAACCCTGGGAGTAGGCAGACCGACTTCTACTGGAATAACTGCCTCAGCGCCGTATGTTAAGCGGAAAGGGGTTTCCTCAGTGGGAGTCCGAGCTGTAGTTCGGTAAGCCCAGAGTACATTCGGTAGTTCCTCAGCCCAAAGTCCCTTAGCAGCTTCGAGCTTAGTTTTGATGATCTTCAGGAGAGAGCAGTTGGTGACCTCGACTTGGCCATTGGCCTGGGGATGACCGGGGGAAGAGAAACATGGTTGAATCTGGAGGTCGGCACAAAACTTCCTGTACTCGGCGTTGTCAAATTGTTTGTCGTTGTCGGAGACGATGGCCTGAGGGATGCCAAATCTGCCAGATAAACTTGGTTGTGTTCCGCTCGGTAATTGTGGCAAAGGGTTTTGCCTTTACCCACTTGGTGAAGTAATCAATGGCGACGATCGCAAACTTGGTCTGTCCTCGGCCGGTGGGAAGTGGACTGACCAAGTCGATTCCCCATTTGGCGAACGGATAAGGGCTGCAAAGTGCGATCAACTCTGTAGGAGGAGCTTGGGGGATGTTGGCAAAACGTTGACACTTATCACATTTGAGCACGAAATCAGTCGCATCTTGATTGAGAGTTGGCCAAAAATAACCGGTACGGAGTATTTTGTGGGCCAGAGACCTGCCTCCCGAATGATTACCACAAATTCCCTCATGGATTTCCCGCATTACATAGGTTGCTTGAGCCGAATTGAGGCATCACAAGTATGGAAGTGAAAAACCACGTTTGTACAAGGCGCCACTGACCAGGATGTAATTGGACGACCGGGCCTTGACTTTGGCGGCCTGCTGTTGGTCATCTGGGAGTTCTCCCGTTGTCAAAAATAGGAAGATGTCGGAGGCCCAAAGGATGGGTTCGTTTTGAAGGAACTGCACTTCTTGTAAGTCGGGTGAAATGGTCGGGTGGGCTAGGTATTCGAGGCGGACACCGTGGCTGAGGTCGGACTGGTCTGCAGAGGCCAATTGAGCCATCTCATCTGCCTTGGAGTTTTCCACCTGAGGTATGTGCTTGAAGTGAAAGGTATTGAAGAGGTGAACAAGGGGGAGGGCCATATCCCTGTAAGCCTGCATTGTGTCCTCCTTGGCATCGAATTCCCCCGTAATCTGGTCGATGATGAGCTGGGAGTCGCTGAACACCCGGATGTGGCTGACTCTGATGTCCTTGGCGAGGCGGAGTCCTGCTATCAATGCCTTATATTCGGCCTCATTGTTACTGGCATTAAACAAGAAGCGGAGAGCACATTTGAAATAGCCGCCCTCAGGGGCGATGAGAATGAGGCCAGCCCCACTACCTTCCCTGCGGGATGATCCGTCCATGTTAAAAGTCCATGAATGTGGATCTTCTGGCTCGGTAAGGGTTGGTGGGGGTAGGGGCACAGCAGTTGGAGTAGGATTAATGAATTCCAGGATGAAATCCGCGACAGCCTGTCCCTTAATTGCTGTTCGAGGTCGGTAGGAGATGTCAAACTGACTGAGTTCCACTGACCACTGCATGAGTCTGCCGGAAAGTTTTGGTTGTTGCATGACCTTCTTCAAGGGTTGGTCAGTGAGAACCACTATGGAATGGGCCTGGAAATAAGGACGGAGCCGTCTGGAGGCGATGACCAAGGCCAAGGACAATTTTTCTAATAGCGGGTAATTCTACTCTGCTCTCTTGAGAGCCTGACTAATGTAGTAGACCGGCCGTTGGACGGAGTCGTCTTCCCTGATAAGAGCTGCACTGACTGTGGCGCTTGAGACGACTAAATAGAGGAAGAGGGACTCGCCCGTAATTGCTTGTGAAAGGAGGGGGGGATTTGCCATGAACTGCTTCAACTACTGAAAAGCTTCTTCAGATTCCGTTGTCTATTCAAAAGTTTGCTGGAGAACTTTGAAGAATAATAGGCACTTATCTGTTGCACGGGAAATGAAGCGGTTGAGGGCCGCAACTCGGCCAATGAGCCTTTGAACCTCCTTAACCGTTCTAGGTGATTACATCTCAATCAAGGCCTTGATCTTTTCAGGGTTAGCTTTAATGCCCCGCTGATTGACCATAAAACCCAGAAACTTCCTAGATCCTACACCGAAGGTGCACTTCTCTGGGTTGAGCTTCATTTGGTACTTGCGTAGGGTGGCGAAGGTCTCTCGCAGGTCGGACAGATGATCAGTAGAGAGTTTGCTCTTGACTAGCATGTCGTCAGCGTAGACTTCCATATTCCGACCTATCTGATGATGGAAAACGGCATTGACCAACCGTTGGTAGGTGGCCCCAGCATTCTTCAGTCCGAATGGCATCACGCGGTAGTGGTAGGTACCTCGGTCGATAATGAAGGATGTATGTTCCCGATCGAACGGGTGCATCAGGATTTGGTTGTACCCAGAGAAAGCATCCATGAAGCTGAGCATTTGATGACCAGCCGTGGCGTCGACCAGCAGATCTATGCGGGGAAGAGGATAGCTGTCTTTGGGACAAACGCGGTTTAGGTCAGAGTAATCAACACAGAGTCGCCATTTGTCATTGTTCTTGCGGACTAGGACCATGTTTGACAACCACTTAGGGTAATCCACGTTTTTGATGAATTGGGCCTCAAGGAGCTTGTCAACCTCTTCGGCTATAAGTGTATTGCACTCTAGATGGAAGATGCGCTGCTTCTGGTGGTAAGGTCGGAAATGGGGTTCGATGCTGATGCAGTGAGTTATGAAAGATGGGTCAATGCCCGGCATGTCTAAATGGGTCTAGGCAAATACATCATTGTGCTCGATCAGAATTGGCGGCCTGCTGTTGGTCATCTGGGAGTTCTCCCGTTGTCAAAAATAGATGGGAACCTCAACGAGCTCCTCCACCGGTTCTTCTCTAACCAGCTCGTCCTCATCTCGGACGTCAAGTCCTTCAATGGTCATGGCCTCCTTCAGCTTGACTTCTTTGAGTGAGGTGACATAACATTCCCTGGCTATGGTCTGCTCTCCCCTTACTGTCCCGACGCCCAGGTCGGTAGGAAACTTTATGGCGAGGTGGTAGGTTGAAGTGATAGCTTGGAAAGCGTTGAGGGCGGTGCGGTCAAGGATGATGTTGTAGGCAGAGGGACAGTCGACCACAAGAAAAGTGACCAACTTGGTAGTCTGCTGCGGGTATTCGCCGATGGTGAGGGGGAGATCGATGGAGCCGATGGAGGTCACCTAGTCGCCAGTGAAACCGACCAAAGGGGTTTGGAGGGGAGACAGGCTTTCCTCTCCAATCTTGAACTGGCGGAAGCAGTTGAGGAATATGATGTCTGAAGAACTGCCGTTGTCGATGAGAACCCGTCTGACCTTATAGTTTGAGAGGAGGACAGAAATGACAAGAGGGTCATCATGAGGATAACGGATGCCTGTACAGTCGGCGTCCGTGAAGGTGATGGGCTCTGTCCACTGCTTGGGCTGTTTGGAGGGCCGGTCTACCGTGTCAATCGCTCTGTCCGAGCCTTGCCTTATCTTCCTGAGTTCTGCCCTCTAAGCGGAGCGGGATGGTCCGCTACAAGCAAGGCTACCTGAAATGACTCGGATTTCACCAACTGGCGGAGGGGGATTACCTGGCGGCCGAGGCTGTTGTG